TGAAGGGTAATTTCTTGAGGCTTCAACAAAAACAAATGATTCATTCATTGCAGGGTACTGAGTGCTTATCATGTACCATTGACTGTGCTAAGTATGGCTATGGGGCCTGCCCTCACAGAATTTAGTTGGGGACATTGTACAATCATAGCTACGATACTTTCTAATGCAGCAATTCTCAACCAGGGGCAATTTTGTCCTCCAGGAGACATATGGCAATGTCTGAAGACATTTTTGATTGTCACAACTGAGGAAGTGTTATTGGCATCTACTGGGTAAGAGACAGATGCTGCTTAATATCCTACAATACACAGGACAACTCCATAATAAAAGAATTATATGGCCCAAAATGTCAATTGGGCCAACGTTGAGAAACCCTGTTCTAATTTAACAAGGAGCATAGGGAGGTGCGAAAGGTTAAGTAAATGCTAGTTCAGGACTTTCTAAATTAGAAAGTCAACGTGTACCATCTAATAAAAATTAAGATAAGGGCCTAAACTGTGGAGAACTCTGTAAGATGGACAAAAGAGTCTAGAATTGATTCTTTGCAAATATGAAGTCAGTGAAGAGTAACAAGATGAAAAATGCTTCTTCTTAGAGAACTTTAAATTAAAGATTAGTCTGGTTGTCACAGAGAAGCTGAAGTATAGGTCATGAATGCCAGGTTAGCACAAATAAAGAAAGAAACTGATGGCAACATTTCAAAGGAATAATCACTAGGATTGGGTAAGATACCGCTCAAGAACTCTCAGATTTCAAATCTCAGCATTAAATTTCAAACCAGAGGTTCAGCTTCCAGTGACACTTTACATTTGCTTAAGTTAAAAGAAAAATCTTTGATTCACAATACTTCACAAAAAACTGAAAGGAGGAAGTCACCTTTTTTTTTTCTTGTAGAGACAGGGGTCTCACTATGTTGACCAGGTTAGTCTCCAATTCAGCCTCAAGAAAGTAACTTTTTAGCCGGGCGTGGTGGTTCAAGCCTGTAATCCCAGCACTTTGGGAGGCTGAGGCGGGTGGATCACGAGGTCAGGAGATCGAGACTATCCTGGCTAACATGGTGAAACCCCGTCTCTACTAAAAATACAAAAAACTAGCTGGGCGTGGTGGCGGGCGCCTGTAGTCCCAGCTACTTGGGAGGCTGAGGCGGGAGAATGGCGTGAACCCAGGAGGCGGAGCTTGCAGTGAGCCGAGATCACGCCACTGCACTCCAGCCTGGGAGACACAGCGAGACTCCATCTCAAAAAAAAAAAAAAAAAAAAAAAAAGAAAGTAACTTTTTAAAAGCTAAAAAAAAAATAACTGCAACCAGGAAAAAGGGTGAGAATAAGAGATCATCCGTGAGAATAAAAGATCATCTGTAGGTTGGAAACAAAACATTTTACAGACTCAATAGCTAACCTCCAAAGCAAAAATATACTCACTGAATCTTAACAATATCACCACCTTTGGTTTGCACATCAGGCTGTATTCTACAAAGTACTTTCACTGCTACCATTTTATTTAAACTTCTCTGAGATATCAATTATGCCCACCTAATTGAGGAAGTATTTCTGGAAAAAGCGAGAAACTCCTTTTTTCTTTTTTTTTGAGACAGAGTCTCATTGTCACCCAGGCTGGAGGGCAGTGGTACAATCTCAGCTCACTGCAACCTCCACCTTCCGGGTTCAAGCGATTCTCCTGCCTCAGCCTCCCGAGCAGCTGGGACTACAGGTGTGCGCCACCACGCCCAGCTAATTTTTGTATTTTTAGTAGAGACGGTGTTTCACCATGTTGGCCAGGCTGGTCTTGAACTCCTGATATCAAGTGATTTGCCCACCTCAGCCTCCCAGAGTGCCAGGATTACAGATGTGAGTCACTGTGCCAGGCCCAGAAATGTATTTATGCTGGACCTGGGCAAATCAATCAGCAAACTGCCAACCACAAAATCAAATCCAAACAAATTCAACAAGGTATTAAAAGCCCTTTACTCCGGGCGCGGTGGCTCACACCTGTAATCACAACACTTTGGGAGGCCAAGGCGGGCGGATCACGAGGTCAAGAGTTCAAGACCAGCCTGGCCAGCATGGTAAAACCCTGTCTCTACTAAAAAGACAAAAATTAGCAGGGCATGGTGGCGTGCACCTGTAATCCCAGTTACTCGGGAGGCTGAGGCAGGAGAATTGCTTGAACTTGGGAGATGGAGGTTTCAGTGAGCCGAGATGGCGCCACTGCACACCAGCCTGGGCAACAGAGCAAGACTCCGTCTCAAAACAAACAAACAAACAAACAAAAGCCCTTCACAACTTGGCTGACATCTAACCTTTTTTGCAGTCTGGTCTTCTGCAAAACTCCAGGCCCCAGTATTTCACTGAACAATTCAGGCCCTCTCCTGTCTCCGTTATCTTTACTCTTGCTGTTTCCTTTAGCTGACCCACCTTATTAGACATCTTTGCCTGGATGTGCTACAAACACCTCAAACTAAAAACATTCAAAATGCATTTTTTTCCCATGTCACTTCCCTAATTTACCTCTCATACTCTTTATCTGAATGGTACTACCCAGTTCCCTAAGACAGAAAGCCAGGCAATTGTGCTACTCTTACTTCTTCATTCCCATAATCAGCCTCCAATTCTACGGATTCTATCTTCTTAATATTGCTCACATATGATCCCTCTACATTCCCATTTCCACCGTCTTAGTTCATGTCTTAGTTCATGTCTACAGCAAGAGCTTCCAAACACTGGTTTACTTCCCCCATAGGCCTGGTCCCCTCCTACTTGACAGAATGAACTTTCTAAAATATAAATCTGATGACATCATTTTCCTGCATAAAACCCTTCAAAGCATCTCTATAGCTTTCAGGGTAAAAATCCAAATTCTTTAGCATGACTTACAATGTCCTCCACATATGACTGACCTGACCACATCTCACTTCCTCCACTTCCCCAACCATTACTAGAATTCCAGTGACACTGAACTAGTCGTGGTCTTTCAGCTGTCCAGTTCTCCAGGTCCTTGCACCTGTAGTAGTCTCTGCCTGGAAATCCCTTTTCCAGATTCCCTATATAGTTAAATAAATATTTCAAGAGTTAGCCTCCCATTTCCTCCTGGAAGCCTGGACAACTGGCTCAGGTATTTCTCCTCTGTGCTCTTGTAGCCCTGTGCTATGCGCTATGAAACTGTAAGCCATCCCTCATTTACTTGTCTATTTCCTCTCCCACTGTAAACTCCAGAAGAACTGTATTCTTTGCCACAAAGGCTGTCTCATTAAAATGTGCCTCATACATGCTAAGGTCTTAACAAATATCTGGTGGGGCCGGGCACGGCGGCTCACGCCCATAATCCCAGCACTTTGGGAGGCCGAGGTGGGGGATCACCTGAGGTCAGGAGTTTGAGAGCAGCCTGGCCTTCATGGGGAAACCCCATCTCTACTAAAAATACAAATAAATAAATTAATTAAAGTCTGGTAAATGATAAATGTGCTGATCTGCTCAAGGATTTTCACTTGAAGAGAGATCCCACAAAGAGCTTCAACTGACACAGTTCTGATGCTAACCTGTCTCAAATGTTCTCATTCCCCTCTTCGAACACATTCCTATTTATCCTTCAAAATTCATCTTAAAAACTCTGCTTCTTCAGAAGGGCTTTTCCTGAACCCCTTGTTACATACTTTCAGAGCACCGTGTTCTTTCCTAACTCTCATCAACATAATTATTTCTTAAACATCCCTGCAAACAGTGCTAGCTCCATGCGGGCAGGGTCTACATTGTTTTGTTTTAAAGCTGCATTCCCCGCATCTGGGAAAATGCTGGCACAGAATAAACACAATTTGTTACGCTGAATTTAATCCTGTGGGGTCAGCAGAGATCTCCACTTAAATGATGAAAAAAAGGAGGCTCAAAGAAGTTAAATAAGGCACCTATGGCCATAGACACTTGGCACTGCGGCCAGACCAAACCTGAGCCGTCTGGTTTCAGGTCCAGAAGTACACACCTTCAATAAAGTTAGCCTGGCTTTTCAAAACAAGAGCAGCAGCCGAGGAGGAAAAGGAGGATATCTGCCCGTAAATACAAGGATTTGCCCGCCTCTCTTTTAAAAACTCCCTAGGCATTTCAAACGGCTCAATTTGGGAAGAGGGGAAAAAAAAGTTCCACGCAGCGATGGCCTTTGACCTGCAGCAGCCTTAGGGGCAACACCGACCGGAAGACCATCCCAAGTTAGAGAGGTTCCGAGCAACAAGGGAAGGAACCGGGGCTGGTCATCTTAGGAACCAGGACCATGATTCTGATTATTTTCCTCACTCGCTATATATCTCGGACTAGCCTCTTCTCTAGGGATCAATTTACCCATCAGTGCAATGGGAGCATCAACAGGGAACAAGAAAGACTCTCCGATCTCGGAGGTTCCTTCCAGTCAGAGCACCTCAGGAATCAGGCCTCCGCTGAAAATGATGGGCGGCACTGCGAAATCGGGCAGAGGGGCCTCCCTCGGGCAACCGGACTCAGCTGCTCACCCCGGCCCCACCTCAAGAGACCGCGCCCAGGAGTCCGGGTCGGCCTGAGGGCCTCAGCCCCGGCCCTCTCGGCAGGGTTCACGACACGCGCGCAGGCCAGAAGGGCCATTAACAACACCAGGGGCCCATGGGCCGCGGAGGAGACCCCAGTCCCTACCAAGCTGCACACCCTCACCTCAGAGTTCTGCCTCACCTCCGGACTACGATCAGCCGCTCTCCGCTTCCGGCAAGAACCGCCCAGCAATCTCCGCGCGACCCACTTCCGGGCCCTCACTGGGCGCGGCACCCCCACCGGAAATGAGCCGCCGGCTGAAGCGCTAGGCTGGCCCGCGACTGGGCAGGAAGTCTCACGGCCCCGCTCGTGACTCCGCCCCCCTTTGCCACGCCCCGGAGAAAGCGGCCCAGCTCGCACAGAGGGCACTTGGGGAAGAGCCCCGCCCTCAAGGCGGGAGCGACGCGAGGAGGGCGGGCTCACAAGCGAGGTCACGCCCTCGTACCGCTTTACCTACCCGGAATCGTCCCCGAGACCCGGGCGCAGGAAGGGCAGAAGTCCCTGGCTAAGCTCGTCTCTGGAAGGAACAGAAGAGTGGCCAGTTCTCTGTCAGTTTGGTCTCAGTGGCAGAGGCCGGTTCCTTTCCGCTGCAGTCCGGAAAGGGTCTTGGAACGACTGGGGTCCAGGATTCTCTGAGGGCAGGAATCCGGTCGGCCGTCAGCTCTTGGTGGGGATCGAGGCCAAGCTCCCCCTGTCTCTGGGCGTGCATACCTCGGTTTCCCCGTTTGTGACGTGGGAAGGCAATTAGTCTGGACATTGTTGTGGGAGGACTTGCGGAGACTGGGCGCAGGGTGTGGGGGTCAGTGAGGGCGCTGTGGGTCAGCCTCAGCCCGGCTGGCAGTCCCGGGACTGGGAAGGTAAGAAACCCTCCGCTCTCACCCCACTTCCTGTTTGGTCGGTGTGTTTTGTGACCATAGATGGTCAGGTCTGGGGCCGCGCGAGAGCCTCCGCCCTTGTGGTTTTGGAGCCCTTCCTCCCGGCGCGCAGGGTGTGGTCCCCGAGAATAAGATGAGCAAAATTAAAGCAGATCCTGCACCCACCATGCTGAAATCCGGCTTCTGAGGCAGCCTCGCCCTGGGCTGCGCGGGCCCAGGCGGCTGCTACTCGCTTCAGGGGGAGGTTCCGCACGGTGGCTGCCGCGCGCAGGGGAGGATTCACTTCCTTGCTCCTTGGGCTGGGAGATCCGATATTTGTTCCCTCAAGACTCACGCTCTCCAACCGGTCATTATCCTCCCACAAAGATTTATTTCTAGAAAAAACTGGCGAGTGCCACAGTTCCCGCCCCTTCGGCTGAAAGACTGTGACAGCTCCGTGTTTCAAGTTGAATGCAGGAGTTATATGCCAGAGTCAATCATTCAACAACTAAAGTTCTTATAATAACAGCTACCATTTACTGCACGCTGACTACTTGCCAGACCTATGCTGAGTTCTTCAAGCGTATTTTCATTTACTCCTAATAGCAACTCTCGGTGGTTGGTACCATTATGTCCTCTGGTTTTCAAATGAGGAAGCTGAATAACTTGCCAAGGTCAGAAAATAACTGTTGAAACTGAAGGAAACACATCTGTCTGACTCTGAATCCCAGGAGCTTAATTAGCCCCTGTGATAGACCACACTGCAGTCATTTGAGGCAGTTTTGAGGCGGTGAATGCCTCTGGATCTGGAGACACACTGGGTTCCAGTGCTGGCATAGGCCCTCTACTAGGGGTCAGACTTTGGTCAGGTTACTTTGGACGGGTTACTTAGCCTCTTCCTAACTATATGGCTCCCAGCATGTTTAAAAGAACATGACAACATGAAAAAATATGGTATAAAAGTCATAGTATATTTTAAATATTGACATTTAACTAAAAACACTGTCTCTCACACAAACTCTAACTTTATTTGGATATAGTCTTTGACTCTGCATTTGGTTCTTCTAAATCTCTTTCTGGATTAGGGACAGAAGGAACATAGACCATACATGCATTCTAGAGGAAGAGGAGAGAGAAGAGGAAGCAGGAAGGAGAAGGAAGAAAGTTTCCTCATCTATCAAATGGGGAATATTCATGGGGCTGTAATGAGAAACAGAAGCAGTAATGTATGTGAAACCACTTTGTAAAATGCTTCATTATAAAGAATGTACACACGACTTAAGTTACAGCCCCTGCCCTAAGGAATGTCCGGTCTTTTAAGAAGTCTAGATACATGCACTTGTAACTCCAGTAAGAGATTGGCAGATAGTTGAAGAACATCCATCACATGAAGGGCTGGGCGCAGTGGCTCACATCTGTAATCCCAGCACTTTGGGAGGCCGAAGCAGGCAGATCATGAGGTCAAGAGATCAAGACCAGCCTGGCCAATATGGTGAAACCCTGTCTCTACTAAAAAATACAAAAATTAGCTGGGCGTGGTGGCAGGCATCTGTAGTCCCAGCTACTTGGGAGGCTGAGGCAGAAGAATCGCTTGAACCCGGGAGGTGGAGGTTGCAGTGAGCTGAGATTGTGCCACTGTACTCTAGCCTGGCGACAGAGCGAGACTCTGTCTCAAAAAAATAAATAAATAAAAGAATATCTGTAATATGTATTTATGCACTGAAAAAAATTATTGAGCTACATAGTAGCAATTATTGGAAGAGTTCAATAATTGCTATGTTATTTTGTACCAAGCACAACTGGGGATCCAGCAGTGGACAAGTCAGACCCTGTTACTGCTCTCATGGTGCTTACAGTCTATTTTGGAAATAGTATTACCATTTGGAGTGGTCATCAGAAGATGTGCGGCCTTCTGTCTTCCAGCTTTTTCCTCCTCACTGATCTTGCCCCTTGTCCAGGACCCATTGCTTCATCCGTGGTGAGTTCTCATCTAGCACATGTTCAGTGAGTGCCTTGAATTCAGAATAGTAATTTCCTAGGCAGAGATGGACGGACAGATCGTTGCAGAGCAAACATGAATGAACAGTAATGGAGATGGGAATCTGCTGGGCTGAGGTGAGAGGTTCCTGCAGGAGAGGAGTAGGAGATAAGGCTAAAGAAAAGGGGGTTGAGCAAACTGCCGGGCCAGAGAGGTCAAACCTTAGTGAGAAAGCAAGGAGGCACTAGTCATACTGTATTTTAGAAATAAAAATCTAGCTACCGTGTAGGGCATGGCCTTCAGTGGGCAACAAAAGAGGCAGGGAGAACTGCTAGAAGATAAGCACAAAGATCTAATCAGAATCTGAATCAAAGCTGTGGTATGCGGATGCAATCAAGGAGAGAATGCAGAAGATACTGTTCTCATAAAGGGGGAAATGATGGTGATGATAAAAAGATAATAAATGAAAAGGGGATAATTTGCATATGAGACTTCAGACTAGATCTGGTACAGGTCCTATGGTTTGAATGTTTGCATCCTCTCCAAAATTCATGTTGAAACTTAATCCCTAATGCAATAGTATTAAGAGGTGAGGCCGTTCAGAGGTGAGCAGGCCACGAGGGCACCTCTCTGGTGGATGAGATTATGCCCACTAAAAGGGCTGAGGGAACTAGCTAGGCCTTTTGCCTTTTTGCTTTCTGTGCAGCTAGAAGGTGCCCTCTTAGAAGCAGAGACCAGGCCCCCACCAGACACTGAACCTGCTGGCATCTTGATCTTGAACTTCCAGCCTCCAGAACTATAGGAAATAATTTTATTGCCGGGTGCAGCAACTCACATATGTAATCCCAGCACTTTGGGAGGCCGAGGCGGGTGGATCACCTGAGGTCAGGAGTTCGAGACCAGCCTGGCCAATATGGCAAAACCTCATCTCTACTAAAAATCCAAAAATTAGCCAGGTGTGGTGGTGGGCGCCTCTAGTCCCAGCTACGCAGCCAAAAACCCAGCTACTCGAATCTCCTGCTGAGGCAGGAGAATCACTTGAACCTGAGAGGTAGAGGTTGCAGTGAGCTGAGATCACACCACTGTATTCCAGTCTGGGTGACACAGCAAGACCGAAAGACAGAGAGAGAGAGAGAGACAGAGAGAGAGAGAGAGAGAGAGAAATAAAGAAATGTGTATTATTTATGAAGTGCCCAGTCTAGGTATTTTGTTATAGCAGCAGGAATGAACTAAGACCATGTATACATTCTCATTCAATACTGCTTTTCCTTCTTGGCAGGTATTACAATCCTTATTCATCATTTGTGCAATTATCTTTTAATATCTTCCTCTCCTGTAAGTTCAGCGCATTCTGAACCTGCAGAATCACTTTGTCTCTGAGGGAGCCACCCAGGTTTCCTCTATATCTCTCAGGATTTCAGACACAGAAGTCTGGCGGTTCATCTGGAGCCTCTCCCAGCCTGACTCAGAGGACTGCCTGCATCTGTGCAACCTGGCTCAGAGCCTGTCAACGTTTGGGCAGATCCTATATTCCCCTGCCAAATGGGCTAATGACAGACAACCATCTGTGTGACCCTATCTTTCTTCCCCTCCAAGGGTATGGCCCCAGATTTCAACCTCAGATAGGGTATCAGGCCCAAAAATTAGGAGTTGGCAAAAGAAATAGCTGCAATATAGAAATATGATTAAGATCTGGTTTTGGGGTCACTCTGAAACTGAATCCCAGCTCTGCCAACTGTGTGATCTTGGAGTTATCCTCATTTAACCTCAGAGAAGATATTAATACCCATCTTAAGTGGTTGATAGGAATTAGGACAGAAAACTAATAAAACACTTGGCTCACAGTAAACACTCAATGAGTAGTAACAATTATTACTAAGTATAGAGAACCTATTGTCTGTTTCCCTGGCAAAGGCCACCAGAAAGCAAAATAAGGTCTAAAGTGTCAACATACTAGATGGTGCCACCAGAACTACAACTGTCGCTATCCCCAGAAAGTTTTCCCATAGTCCCCGCTTCTTTGTATTGCTAACTTTTTTTTTTTTAAGACAGAGTCTCGCTCTGTCGCCCAGACTGGAGTACAGTGCACGATCTCAGCTCACTGCAACCTCCGCCTCCCGGGTTCAAGCAATTCTCCTGCCTCAGCCTCCGGAGTAGCTGGGATTATGGGCACACACCATGCCCGGCTAATTTTTGTATTTTTAGTGAAGAGGGGGTTTCACCATGTTGGTCAGGCTGGTCTTGAACTCCTGACCTTGTGATCCGCCCGCCTTGGCCTCCCAAAGTGCTGGGATTACAGGTGTGAGCCACTGTGCCTGGCCTTTTTTTTTTTTCTTTTCTTTTTTAAGACAGAATCTTGCTCTGTTTTCCAGGCTGGAGTGCAGTGGTGTAATCATAACTCATTGCAGCCTTGAACTCCTGGATTCAAGTGATCCTCCTACCTCAGCCTCTGGAGGAGTACCTGGGACTGCAGGTGCATGCCACCATGCCCAGTTACTTTTTGTATTTTTTTGTAGAGCTGGAATCTTGCTATGTTGCTCTGGCTGGTCAGGAACTCCCAGCCTCAAGCAATCCTCCTGCCTTGGCTTCCCAAAGTGGTGGGATTACAGGCATGAGCCACTGCACCTGGCCTGTATTGCTACCTTTGGACTCAAAGTTAGGCCAGGTGCAGTGGCTCATGCCTGTATTCCCAGTATTCTGAGAGGCTGGGGCGGTAGGAACACTTGAGCCCAAGAGTTCAGGACCAGCCTAAGCAACATAGTGAGACCTCACCTCAAAGAAAAAAAAAAAAATTAAATAAAAAAATCCACAAAAGCAAAATTGGGCCTGTGCCCTTGGCTGTAAATGAGACCAAATAAATCAGTTAGGAATGTGAATGGTTTTGCCCACAGATAATAGAAAACTTGACTGTAGTCACTTTTTTAAAGTCAGTTTTTCTCACATACAAGAAAAATGAAGGTAGGCAGTTTTACTGGCTCAGTAATGTCAGAGCTTATATTTCTGCGATTCACTTCACCTTACCCTTGTGGTTGTAAGTTGGCTGTTGCAGCCCTAGTGCCATCAAATCATGTTTAAGGGACAAGGAAAGAGGAAGGGGAACATGCAGCGTTTGAAACTGGAAAGCTGACGTTTTCTAAGGAACCCACAAAGCATATCCTGCTTCCTGTCTCATAGCCAGATCTAACAGCAAATACTTCAGCTTTTTTGCCCCTGAGAGGAACACATTTGAGATGCATTTCACGGTGTTTTTGAGGGCCCCTAGAGGGCCTAAGCCCAGTTGTCCATAGCGGTAACCACTCATTAACAAACCAAGTTAGCTTTTCTCCTTTCCCTAACTTACTTGTGTTAGGGAATCCAAATTAAAGAGAATGGAATTGGCTGAGTCTGCTACACCTGGAAAGTGACAGTGAGCTTTGATAGTGTTTAAGGTGCGTGCTCACTCTCTGTCTCTCTCTCTCTGTCTCTTATGTTTGGGATATTGTCCAAACATATAAAGGGGATACAGATTCTGAGTGTACAATAAGAATGATAGATGTCCACTATAATAAACCCTTGTGACTGCCTGACATCAAAATACACCCTTTTCTATACTTACACTTCAAAAAACAAAACTCCAAACTGATACAACCCTCCCTTTTATAACCTAAATTGTACTCACTATACTCACCTCCTACCCCTCCAAAAGGAAATTATCTCAAATCCTCATCAGTAACTTCATCCAGCAACAAGTCCAGGATCTCTGAATAATGTTCATTCTTTCTCCAGTTCATAATAATCTTGCCTCAATATTCTGTAGCCTATGAACTGAACTTTCTTTCTTTTCTTTCTTTTTCTTTCCTTTCTTTTTTTCCTCTTTTCTTTTCTTTCCCTTCCTTCCTTCCTTCCTTCCTTCCTTCCTTCCTTCCTTCCTTCCTTCCTTCCTTCCTTCCTTCCTTCCTTCCTTCCTTCCTTCCTTCCTTTCTTTCTTTCTTTCTTTCTTTCTTTCTTTCTTTCCTCTCTCTCTTTTTTTCTTTTCTTTCTTGAGATGGAGTCTCACTCTGTCACCCAGGCTGGAGTGCTATGGCTCAATTTCACCTCCCTGCAACCTCCGTCTCCCAGGTTCGAGCAATTCTCCTGCCTCAGCCTCCCGAGTAGCTGGAATTACAGGCATGCGCCACCACGTGGACTGAACTTTAAAGTTAACCGCTGTAACATGCCACACCCTATATGTATTCGTGGGAGAAAGGCAAATGAAAGGAGAAGAAAATTCGATACAACATGTAGATATTTAACTGGCATAGTGAAAAACTTTCTGTAACTGATCACAAAGATTTAGTTATCTTTGACTTCATATATCCACTACCCATTCTATATCCTCTTTGTCTTCAGCCAGCACCTCAGTTCACTAGGGTCATAGAGATGGAAAGAGAAAGAGGCATGAAGGAGGCATGCCACTATCTTAAACGTCCTGATCCAGAAGTGGGACATACTAATTTCACTTACATTTCATTGACTAGGACTTAATCATATAGCTTCTGTTGGGGGCTGTAACTGAGTTTCCTATAGGTGACCAAACCCTCTTTCTTGTGGGATTGGAGACATTGGTGGTCATTCCTATATAATATTCTCACAATTTTCCATTAATTTTTAGCACTGGATTTACAAGAAGTAGGAGGTACGCCTAGTATTCTCTGGGTTATGTGCATAATTCTACACTCTATTGTATAGTGACAGTTCTCTTTTACCTTGAAAATAGGCCCATACCCGAGCTAACCATGATAACCGGTGCAGGTTAAATTTAACATCAGGCTCTCTATGGTGGATAGCCCTGATTTGTACCAATTGACAATTTTTGTGGTGTAAATACTCTCACTACAGTCAATTGTAAGCTACCAAGGTTATGTCACTGAATGTAGAGTTGAGAAAAATGCACTGTGGTATGCAGAACTAAGGTGTTTCAAAGATGTGCACATCCTAATCTTAGGGACCTGTGAATATCTTACTGTAAATGGCAAAGGGAA